GAACCCCCCCCTCCCCCCTCAAGAAAAACAGAAACATTTTTGAATGGATCTATAGTTCTAGCATTAATCAAATGATATGAACAATTATAATAATTTAAAAAAATATATCACAGCACTACTGTATTTAAAAAGACATGTGATGGAACTATAAGAATATGTGCATCTCTTCACCGTTTTGCTATCAAAATTCTGTTTTGTTTTTTTTTTATTTTATTTGTTCTATAATTGTTCCGAATGAGGTCTGATTCACTTTCCAACATAATTAAATCTCAACCAATCACTTTGAGATCCAGAGCGGAGAGAGAGAGAGACACTACTTTCCAGTGGGCATTGCAGAGATTTAACAACAAAGACCACAACAACAGAAAAGGAGAAAAATAGACATTAAAAAAAAGGTAGAAGAAAATGTAAAATCCAAAAGGAGAGAATGAATCAAAATTGTTATTGGTCTTCGCCTTACGGACCCTGTATCTTTGCCCTATGTGGTCAGAGGTAAACAGAACTGACCAAACCATCTAGAGAAGGGACAATCGAGGAAACTCAACATTAATTATTTTTGCTGGTATGAACCGATTCCCGTAAAACACTGCAGCACATTTTCTTTTCTTTTTTTTTACTACTTGGGGTCGTGACACCACATTGGGTCGCCTTTAATGTGATCTACCTAGATTAAAAATGTTGATCCACTACCACTCCCTTCTGAGAACTGCTGCTTGGGCTCACCTAAACATCTTGTCATGGAGCAATGCATCAATTAGTTTTGTTTCGCCTATATTCAAATCTAATTTGAATTAATATTCTTTAATTTTACTTAAGGTTACTTTCAAGATAAAGAGATACAAAATGATATAAAATGCAAAATAAGTATGGGCAACACAATATTAAAATTGAGTGATATGGTATGGTGGGGTCGACACGAGAGGCCCGGCATGTTGAGGGATAAATGCGTGTCTGAAAACGAGGATAAAGGAAGAGGACCGGAGAGCGCGGCCTGGAGTGTTAATGTGGAAGATGTTAACAAGATACTGAGAAGCGAGATTGTTGATGGGCTTGTAAGTGAGACGCAGAAGCTTGGAGTTTAATGGGAAGCCAGTGGGGTTGATACAGAACAGGAGTTGTGTGATTAATGGAGGATGAGCTGGTGATGATGCGGAGATCTAAAGGGTGTTAAGGATCGCTGCCCTCCTCTGGCTGCTAAGCCTCACACACAAGCTGGAAAAGGAAGGGGTTGGGTTCGTTCGGTCACCCTGTCTCCCTGCTGGGATACATTTAGTTGGCTATGGTAAATCATATTAAGCATATTTAAAAAAAAACAAAACAAATCCGGACCAAGACTCAAACAGTCGGTTACATAAAAATACAGGAGAGACAGTGCTTCACAAAATAAAGTGAGCAAGGATTCTGCGCAAGTTGAAACATCCCTGTCGGATTTTAGACAACGTAGGATGACAGTAGAAGCGCACAATAGTCCGGAGAAAACACCCCCCACTGCCGGTAGCCACAGGTGCAGCACCAAGATTAGTGTTTAGGGGACTATAAGGTTAAACCCAAACAAAAATACAGTCATTCTCCCTCATCCTTGTCAGCTGGCACCTCTGACTCCTAAGGAATCAGATTCAGGCCTTGCAAATGAATTCAATACTCTAGTGCCCCGTTTGTAACACTAATGTTAGAGTGACAGCAACAGCTGAGGACACATATCATGTCAACGTGCAAGGCAAAAAAAAAAAAATCCACACCAGTATCACATCACAACCCTAAAATAGACCTACAAGTTAAAATGAACAACACAGCGCGTCGCCTACGTGGCGGGACAATCGTGCGATCACCGATCCAGGTGATATTTAATTGCCCGATACATTTTCTCTGTGAGACAACGCACACAATGACAGACATACACGTGATGTCGAGAAAGCAATTGAAATAAAAACAACATCATGAGAGGGGCCTTCGAATGCCTTGCAAATATTGGGTCAGCCAGGCTATTACATCATGCATCATCGTCGTCATTATTATGATGAATGATTAAGATCAAAAGGGTTGAGACAGACTGACAAACTCAAAAGTAACAAATAAATAACTACAGCTACACACTTTGCCAGCGCATATTTTTAAACTAGCACTGATATAGCATAAAGTAGCGACAAGTCCCAGGGGTGGAAACGTGAGAGCAATTATCAAGTCACAGTGTAGTCACTGGCGGTACACAAAAGGTTAGAGGTCAATCAGCAGACTCACCTTTGCTCTCCGTTTTGGCTGAAAGACAGAAATAGAAGAAATGAATGAAAATATAGCACACGTTCGTTAGTTGTATGATATGTAAGACATCTTTGGGATGTCTTACATAACATGTAAGACACATATAAGTGATAATATATCAAGTTTGAGTTTTACATTTTGCTTTTAAATTATTCTCTAGCACGACCAGGTCACGAGGTAACCCAGGACCGTAAAGCTAACCTTTGCTACCTCATTAACAGATCTTTGAACTTGATACCCTGACCTTAGCTGGGGTCCAGAAGTCTGAGGACACGGTCCCCAAACTGTCTCGGTAAATGAACACACCAGACACCCACAGGCACAGTTTGGGGTACGATGTTTTGAATGTGGCCTGGGAAAGCTGGGAAGCTGATCTTCACATTTCTTTTTTTTTTTTTTTTTTTTTTAGGTTAACAACAGGGTGTCCCGTTGGTGTAGGCTATCTGGTGCCTGCCCTTCTGGGCTGCACGTAATTGTTACAAGTTAAATTGGGGAGAAGAAAAATTCTCAACCGAAATATTACACCCAGCCTGGAGACTGTCCTTGTGGGGTCACGGCAGTCAGTGCTAAAGGCCAAGGTTGGTGTCTTATGACCTCCCTGAAGTCATGCCACGGTCTCTTAAGATGAGCACTGTTTCCTTGAATAGCTGCACCAACTTGCTTTTTTTTGCTCCACCCTTGCCTAAAGTTTTGCAGCAATTTCAAAGAAAGACTTGTTGACACCTCCGCATTTAATTGTTGTCCTTTTGGGGATTTTGTGTAATGTCATTCAAAACTTATTAGATATCCTTTATGAAAAATTGCCAATGTTCTTACTTGGTTTAATCTTAAGATTTATCGCCATGTGATCTTGTAAATCTTGGCAACTATCTGCCTAGAAACACACCTTGGTATGAATTTTGATCTTAAGTGTGTTAATAAAACTGGATCTTACTGTACTATACTATATTTAATTTATTAGCCGTTTCATTTTTCAAAATCAAGGCTCCTGCAGTGCCATACGGAGAGGTACAGGACACCATTTTCATTTGTACCCACTGTGTCTTTTTTTTCATCTACTTGAAATACTTTTTTTTTTAGAAAAATTAAATTAGTATTACGTCTATACAAGACAAAAAATATAAATAAATATATATATATATAAATATATTTAATGCTGTATTCTTCTGTAGCCCACAGTGGGTTCTTCAGGTTCTAACATCACTATTTGTTTGAACATCATCCAATGAGAGGACTCCTTAGCGTCTGACGCTAAGACACCAACGTCATCATCAACACTGCTGTCAATAGTGGTCAGATATCAGTCACCTGGACGTGTTTAAATGGCATACATGGCATACAAACACTTACTTACTCACAACATTCCATATTAGCATGAGTTTCTAATGTCCGGCTTGTAAACTTACCACAATTTTAGCACTTGCAAACAGTCCTAGTCGTTAATCGTTAACTCATTCATTCTAACTCACAGTGGAACCCCGAGATACGAGCGTCCCGACTTTTGTTCCAAGATACGATCAAATTTTTGCTTTGACGTACGAGCAAAGATTTGCGATATGAGCACACTTACAGACGCCGCGCTAGGTGGACGAACATGTGAAGTGAACGAGCACTCGGAGCAGCCCGTGCTTCTTCGCTCGTTCACTTCACGTGTTCATCGACTTCTGTAAGCATCTCCTGCGAGTCTTCCGTATTGTGTTAAAATCTATGTGATTTTCTCTCTATTTTTTTTGTGCATTATTCGTTATAATAGTTCTAAGAGAGTGAGTGGTAAGGATGGTGGCGAGAAGAAGAAACGCACGATGACCATGGAAATTGGAGCATTGGAAAATAGTCGATAAATATGAGCGTGGTACCAGCTAAAGGGAAAAAATACAAATCGAAAAAAGCAAAAATAAATAAATAAATAAATAATAAAAAAACTGAATTTAATTCTAAGTTTATGTAAGTCACGAAGTGTACGTGTAAGGTACGCTACGGAATCAAGTGTCTACGTACGAGCCAACTCTCCCTTCCTCCCTAATGCTAATGCTAATGGAATGGGTGGAGAAGGACCTCCTCCTTCTCCACCCATTCCATTAGCCGCTACTGTATCGTCTGTCTCGAAGGTAAGAACTCATAATTAAAACACACATTTTATATCACAGGAATCCTTGAATACTATAATCTTTTATGCGTGTGTATGTCTCTATAGCAATTACAAACATGTTTTTTTCCAGTGTTATTAGCACTAATAAGGGAGTTTTGTAGAGGGCTGGAACGGATTCAATTTTGTTCTGTTATTTCTTATGGGGCAAACAAATTTGAGATAAGAGCACTTCCAAGTTATAAAACTCAGTCCTGGAACGGATTATGCTCGAGGTTCCACTGAATTTGGTAGATGTTCAACCAAATATGTGTTAAACTCCTTTACAATCCATTTAAAAAAAATTCATGGAAAGCTTTGTTGATGGTTATTATTATCATTCTGGGCTTTCACTTATTTCACGTCATGATAGACAGCTATACAGTGGGAGTTTAATCCGTTCCGCAACAGCACTTGTACGTCGATCCACTCATGTCTCGATTGCATTTTCCTCATTAAACATAACCAAAAACATAGGTATAAACAGAAATATTGGTAATATAAAATAATAATAATTAAGAAAACATTTTATATTATTGTTACAAAAATGGGTAAAATAACCAAGTGAGCGACAGTGAGTGTCAGGGCCACTAAGCGTATGAGAAGGGCTTGATTTAAATGACAGAGAGTCTGGCAAAGTCTTGCAACCACAGTAGGCACCATTAAGTATGTGGTTGGAAATCACAGGCTGCCAAACAGGAGGAATAATAATAATAATTTAGTCCCTTATTCATCTCAGAATGGCAAAATCTACAAATGTAAGTCTTGCAACCACAGTAAGGAACCATTAAGTATGTGGTTGCAAATCACAGGCTGCCAAACAGGAGACGTCATTAAGGAAATGTGGTTCCTCAAGAATTCAAACCCATGACTGGCTGCTTGCAGGTTAACTGCTACACAACTGGAACCAGTCTTTTTAACGAACTACCGACAGTGCGTCACCTTCATGCCTGAAATCGACTTCACCCTAAAATAAACTTGCCTCCTGCAGAATCCTTCCTGTTGGCAAACACTGACCAACTGCATGAAATGATTACATCCCATGACCTAATCAGATTTTATATTATGCTCAGTAATAGATACCTCGTGGTGCAACGAGCTAACACTTCAGACGTGGGACCTTTCCAAAACAAATCACCGTTCACCTCATGTACATGTTCTACTTCTCTAGATTTCGTTTTTGGACTGCATTGGTGTATAAATATTTGCACGTATTGAACTAAAAACATTAGTTGGCATCATATTTACTTCTCAATAAAACCATCCATTTTGACTTCATATGCTTTACTACATATATGATTAATTGCAATTAGAAACAATTGCAAACAAATGTTTTCAATGAACAAGTTATTTAACGACTTTAGGGTTTGACGCCTCGTGCATGCAAATACAAAGAAGTGCTGGGCTAATTGGCGGCTGACTGCAGTTTCATATTGTGCCCAATATAGGATCTTGGAGCAAATTCAAAAATGGCTGTTCAAACAATGATGCTTTTTTATATATATACAGTATCTTCCTAAGATGACACGCTTCTTTAGGGTGACTGGTATAAACTGGTTATTTCAGAACATGGTTTATCTTTATCATCTTGACATGTGCGTATTTAACTTTTAAATGACAAAATACATGGACATTAGGTGATCTAAAGGCAGAACAGTTCAATTAGTAGAAATGCTCATCATTTTTTTGTTTTCTTTGACACTTCTGTGCATCAAATGAGCTAAAGTGGGTGCCAGAAAACAATCCCTACAGGTTGGTTTTGAGTTGCCCTCAAAGCACTATAAGGTCACAGTGATGAAAGGGAATGTTGCCCTGCCAATCATTTGATCACTCCCTGCCATTATGAAAAAGACCGTCGTGTGTTCAAGATCACAGGGGAACAGCTCGGGCCATGCTGAGCCCAAGGAAAATTTGAAAACACTGACACATTGCATGAATGATTTATCGTAGCATGAAGGGGTTCTGGTAGAACCTGATACGCTTGACTCTGTGAAAATCAATGTACTTATGAGGAAGAGAAAAAGTAAGGTCAGAGGTTATCCAGTCAGTGTATAAATAGATGTTAGCTGGACGGGTTCTATCGGTGAAAATAAACCGACACTTGCCATTGACACTTTTTTGACACCAAGTGTTTAAAATCAGAATAAAATAGTGTTTGTTTAAAGGAAAAAGTATAAGGCAGCTCATTATATTTGAAAAAAAAAAACATATTCGTTTAGTTTTAAAGACATCAATAAATACATGTGGGTTATCTGAGGCTTTAAATGGAGTTTGGCTACAGATGGCAGGGTAGTGGGGGAAACGGGGGGCGGGGGGGGCAGACGGTAAGCAAAGAGGATCATATCCATATTACATGGATAATATTTAAAGCTGCATAAGGTGAATTAAAGTTGAGCCTGATTATGTTTCTGTGGTAAAAATAAAATAAGCTAGTCATGTGCAAAGGGAATAAAATATTATTATTTATAGTGCAAAATGGCTATGGATATGTTTAAAAAAATTATAAGTTTAATACATCCACTAGGGAAGATGATGATCAAGTGACACAACAGGGGTAAAAAAAACTTTTTTTAAATGGGGCCACGACTTTTTTATCATTTTGGCAATGTCTGAGAGTTCTGTGATCTGTTCAAAATCCTACAAAAATATCTGAGAGCAAGACGGGAGATATTAAGTCCCTGTTCAAGCCTTTGTTAAAATGTAAAGTGGCTTCAATGGATTGGGAAACTCCTTGCCCTTTTTGATTTGTGACAGATTGGCAGAGGATCAAAACTGTCTTGGCATAGCATTATGGGATACATTCTGCAATTAAATACTGGCTTCTGGTCATTTCAAGAGAGCATTTGGTTTGGAAGAATACATATTGTGTATCAGTAAAACCAATATGATTATGAAAATAATATCAAAGAGAAGAAGAATGCGTCTGAAACTCAAAAGATTTGTGCTACTAATGTTTTTCACTAATGTGTAAAGATTACTGTACATGGAGAGTACTATTTTTGTATTTAAAGTGAAATCTGCAGATGGCTTGTCGGTTCCTGCATGAAATTGGTGACGGCATCCGTTTCTAAAGGAAATTTGATCCCGTCGTGTTTCGGGAGTCCATGCTCTGGAAACCTTAGTGCAACTACAATAACAAAGCTGAGTCTGGAAGCTTCTACACCGTGGTCACCATGTCATCTGATGTCACCAACATTCTTGTTCATACGGCTATGTGATCATTCACAGAATCATATCTTCCAGAACCCTGGATGATGCTTACTGTAAAAATTAGTTTTGGGCTTACTTGAATCCCTAGTTTGACTCAACTTTTTCTTTCTCTCTCTCTCTATATAGATAAATATATATGTATGTACATATAAACACATATATATGCATACATATGTATGTGCATGTATTAAAGAAATGTTTTACTTAATATTAAAATCAATGTTGTTGTAAGATAATTAAATAAAATACATATGAATGAACATCTTAATAAAATAGGCATAAAATAACTTATTCAGGAAAGATCGTCATCATTGCAACATACATTATTCAGCATGCAACATAAAACGACAATTCATAGTAACTCTTGCAAAATTATATATATATGTATATGTATATATACATATATATATGAAAAATACAGTTTTTTGTGCAAACATTTCAAGTTATTTTAGAAAACCCTCAAAAACCACTATTTACTGCACGAAACATTAACAAAAGCAAATAGTCCGACCTATTTGCTATAACTCTTGATTTCAAGGAGAAAGTATTCATACCTGCCGGGGCCTCAGGCATGGTTATTTCTGCGTCTCCTCTCTGGTCTGGGAAGACTGCTGGCTAGTACTGCCAGTTCCTTTTATTTCTCTCCCCTTGCTCTGCTATTCAAAGATCTCTTGGCACTCAAGTCTCCACACCCTCTCATGAGTGAGCGAGTCAGAGAGCGAAGAGCACAGAGTACAGTAAGAAGCAGGACTGTGTTGAAGTGACGAAAGAAGAAGGTGAGGTGGTGCTGAAACTTTCATAGAGAGTTAAGTCAACTGGTTATCCTCTGAAAAGCTCTGAGGCTGGCCAGAGAAGCAATAAATCCAATGAAATGGGAAGCATCAGCCACACTGCTTGACACCCATTAAACACTCAGCGGTAACATGGGGGTATTTGACCTGTTAAAATTCAATAAAAATAAAATAAAAAAAGAATCAATTATTATTTTATGCTATCTGTTCTGTTACATTAAAGACAGAGATATGTTAGTTATTGAATCATAGTCATTTGTAGTACCACAATTTTAACCCAAAGTCCAAGCATTTTGCTTGGTTTTCCCACTGCATGCACAAAGCTATACTGTCATTTACAGTAGGTAAATTCCCACTGTTACCATTTTTGAATTGCTTCCTAATTCAGTTCAGCATCTTTCATATGTGACGGTTTTCTACGGTTTTACCTGCTATCCCTTTGGCCAAGACAGTCATCCTGTGTTAAAATCATAGCTGGAAATGTACACTTTCCCATTAACAGGAGCACAAAATCCCAATTTTACGTTGGTAGTTTTGTAATCACAGCAGTGGTGTATCATCAAGGCCAGCAAGGCCTGCTCTGCTGACCTAAACATCAGTATCAGAATCAGTGACTTATTCTTTAATATATTTATCAATAATATTTTTAAAATAATACAGAGTGCAGCTATTGGTTGCATTGCTTCCAGCTACGTATACCTGTTTTTATCCAATCATATCTCAGCCTCATGTGTTGCCAAGGTGAAAGAAATCTACCCTAAAAGAATCTAGCAAATTAAAACTTATGCCATAAATACAACAGGACGAACTGGTCTTTTATCATTAGCCAGGATGGAGATAGAAAAGAACTTGTTTAGGCTGGGAAATACAGATATTCCGCTCAACAGAGGAACTTAACTCATCTTGTACAAATGTCGCAGCCATAGGTTGATAAAGCTCTTACTCTCTTAACTGGTTCACAAAGAATACAGTTGCATGTCTAGTGCAAATAGAGGCACTGGCAATAACCTCTTAGTGGCATGAGCTAATACATCAGCATGCTATATGACTATCATTTCTATTCAGGATCCAGCACGGCCCAATAACCACTACATGTGTTCTAAGATAAAAAAAAACCACACAAAAAGTACCAAGCTGCACTGCAATACTTAAAATAACAGCATGCAAAAGGAGTATCCACAAAATGCATCACATATATATATATAACCTACAGTTAGTTACCACTACAGGAAGTCCAGTAACAACATTGCACAATGCCCTACAGATAATCATAAAAAATACTTAATAAAAAACAGGCCTCATAGTTATCAACATGGGAAAAACAGGGTTGGAATTTCACTTGTAGACTGTAAAAATACATAGCATCTTAGACTACCTTTAGTTTGTTTAGTATCACAATACACAACTTACAATATCAATTGCCACTCAAAGTTCACACCTGGCTTCTAGGTTGGTAGCACGTACCTGAAAACATCTATAGCCATTTATCTATAGCCATAATGACATCAAGATGTGGATTTATTCAGGTAGGATGCCACTGAAGGCATACGTGAGAAATAAATGGCACGCCACAGAATCTGTTAACAGAAACAGAACCACATTGGTGACACTCATCATCATTTGGATTTAGCATTGCATAACAGCCATTCTCAAATACCCCTTTGGCTCTAAACGGCTCCTGTCGGCAGAGTCACTACTATAGTCTTTTCTCAAAGGCAACAAGTGCAGCAGTTCACACATCTAGTTGTGTTTTAACTGACTTAGTTACTTTATGTATGACTGGACAGAAAAACAAACTGTTGTCAATTGTCCCCTCAGACCCATGCTAAAGGAACCAACAAAATAAGCACCTGGGATTCAGGAAAATTACATCCATTATCAAGTGGTTTGGAAGGCCACAAGTAACAGACTGATCATAAACCACTTAAGACCACCTAAGACACTTAAGATTCTACCAGAGACCATTTGGATTAATTGTGAATATCTTGGTAGTTGCTTTGGATAAAAGTGTCTGCCAATCGATAAATGTAAATGTATTCTTCAAAATAATTGTCCTAAAAGACACAAGGGTCTAAAACGTATGGATATGTGCAGGTGAATATTCAAGGATGCCATCTTGTGGCCAAATATAAACAGTGACGTAAAGCAAAAAGTGTCATCATACTCTTGTGCAATGAGCAATCGAGCATATGATTAGTTAGAATATTAAAATACCCATCAACAAATAGATTGGATTATTTGGAAATAATATAAATAAAATGCACAAGATTAAACCTAAAACTTCAACTTCGCTTATTAAGGAGCGATCTGTATCTCTCAACGTGTACATGTGTGCGTGTGTGTGTAAGTGCTGTCGGCACAACATCCAATCAAATTAGACCCACGTTGTTTTGACGCAATAGCATCGAGCCAATCAAATTGAGGGACAACCAATGAGGAAGAGCTGAGTGGCAGTATGCAAAACATACCGGTCGAAGATTTCAGACGGAGACGCCACAGCGTCTGACCCAATGCAATACTGTCCGACCTGATTATTGACTGCGACTTGCCCCTGTCTATCGTGGAAAACAAGAGTTTTCGGCACTTTCTGACAGTACTTGACAGCAAGTACAGCCCAGTGTGTCGCAGAACACTGACATCAAAAACAGAGAACCTTGCTGAAGAGACTAAACTAAAAACTCAGTTGAGCAACACTGAACATGTTTCAGTCACTGTGGACATTTGGTCTGACCGAAAGATGAGGGGATTCCTTGGTGTCACTGTGCACTGGATAGAGAAAGAGGCAGAGAGGATACAGCTAAGGTCTAATCTCTTGGCCTGTGAACGCTTCAAAGGCTCACACACAGCTGAAAGAATCTGTGACCAATTTGAGTCAATATGTGATGAATACACCATTAAAGACAAACTGGAGAACATTATTAGTGACAATGCTGCTAACATGAGAAAAGCATTCTCTGTATGTTTCCCAAGTGAACAAGAGGATGACGATGATGGAGATTATCTTGATGACCCTGAGCTCTGGTGTGACTTAACCCTGGAAGATCAGGAAACAGTAGATGTTGCTATGGCAAAGAAACAGCGCCTGCAGTGTTTTGCACACACTCTTCAGCTGGTGGTGGGAGACGGCTTGAAAGAAACAAAAGTGGTATTGCCTTCTCTTTCAAAGTTATCAAAACTCAGCTCACTGCTGCACACAAGCACAACATTCAAAGATGTGTTTGATGCTGAATTTGGAGAACAGAAAGGCATCCCTGCTGCAGTCAACACAAGATTGAACTCAACACTTCGGCAAGTGAAGGCAGTTCTCCAGTGCAATCATCTAAAGCTCTGTGCTGTTCTAGAAAAGGCTGGGCACAGGGAGTTGTCATTCACAGCACGGGAGTGGAATCTGTTGAAGGAGTTAGTGGACATCCTGAAACCATTTGGAGAAGCAACTGATTTGACACAGGGGGAGAAGGTCACAATTAGTGCTGTTGTTCCTTCTGTCTTGTCCCTCAACCACCACCTTGAGAAGCTGAAGCCTCAAGTCTGCTTCCTGTGTGGCCTGGTCAGAAGTCTCCAGGCATCCCTGAACAAAAGATTTCTGGGAATCTTCATCAATGTGAAAATGGCTAGGACACAAGATGTGGTTGATGCTCCATTTTCCAATCCCGTCTACCTCAAAGCAGCTGCCTTGGATCCAGCCTTTTCTCTGTTGTGGGTGGAGCCCCATGTGCTGGTCAAGCATGATGTCAAGGCAGAGGTGGCACAACAAGTGAAAGGTAAATGTTACTAAGTCTAATGTAACTTTTCCCCTCACAATCTGATCTAATTGACTGCAACAATAATTAAGTATTTCAGTCTAACACACTGCATCACCAACACAAATGATAATAAGGACTCTTATGTGTGCTATTGGTTTTTCAGAATCCTGCAAGATGCTGCAGAGACTGAGCAACCTTTGCCTCGGGTTGATGAAGAAGAGCAAAAGGGCCTCGGAGAAGGGCTCTTTACTGCATACCATGAGAGGCAAAAGAAGGATGTTGGGATTACTCCAGCACTACAGCTAAGTTGACGTAGTTGAAGGACAGAATGCCCTTCTGTTCTGGGCTTTGAACATGAAGACTCTTCCTTCACTGTTCCAAGTGGCCATTAGGGTCTTGGCAGTGCCTGCCTCCAGTGCTTCAGTGGAGCGAGTTTTCAGCCATGGTGGCATCATACTACGTCCCCATCGTGCACAAATGACTGACAACCTTTTAGCCAATTTGGTCTTTTGCAAATACAGTGCAGCATAGGGCCCTGACATAAAAAACATTTTTAAGGTTGTGTTCACATATTTGTTATGTTTCTCACATGTACACACACACGGACAATATGAGAATAGATTCAGAGGACAGGACAGAAACTGCTGTGAAACTAGTTCAAATGCAATATGCAGTTGAAATGCAATGTTAGCACTTTGTTCAAATAATTACAGTTGCACTTGTTTTTTCAAATGTTTACCCCTTAAAGTAGTGGTTTATTTATTATTGCAATTAGAAAGTGCAATGTCACCGACATTTTTTCTGCAATTTCAATTGATAAATAAAGATTCTGAAAGCACACATGATCTGTGTAAATATATTATTATTATTTTGTAGAAAAAAGACTCGAAACTGAAACGGCAGGACTTGGGATTTGTCTTGACACTTTTCAGTCTTGACTTGGAATCGACACGGACTTTGCCTGTCTTGACTTGAGACTTGACTCGGACTTGATACAAAGACTTGAGACTTACTTGTGACTTGCAAAGCAATGACTTGGTCCCACCTCTGTCTCTATCATTCCTCGTACCTGTGTGTTTGGCCTCGGCTTTGGGGGTTAGCTGCCCGTAGTCAATTATGCTATCTGTATGAAAATAAAATATGAGAACATTAACAGGTCCCTCAATGTTAAAATTATTGTTGACTGCTTAAAATTAATTGCTGACCATGAACGCTGAATTTACCCTGTCTCTGTCCTTTGGTCAGCTCTGGTGGATAAGCTCCAGTGGAGAGGCGATTCCAGACAATTTCCCACTGGTTTTTCATTGTTGACCTACATATAAAAATGTTTTTTACAGATGAGTATTTGCATTGGAGGGTCAATGTGTGTTAGCTCATTTATTGAATACATTTTATTGTTTCCATTTTTATTCATTGTTTTTACTTAAACTGAATTTAAAGTTTGTGGGAGCGTGTGCAATTGGGTGGTATTCATCACATTTTTTATGTGTCGTATGTGCCACACACGGAATACACATTGACGCGAAAATTGTTAAATTAAAGTACATTAGTAGACTTTTTAAAATGACGTCTCAATTTACGTCAGACCGCTAAACACCGATTAAAAAAAATAGAACTGCGCAATTGGGTAATGTTCAACACAATGGGGAAAAAATCGCCTCCATCTTGATTAATGTAAGACCTTTTTAAAAAGAGTGCGTACATGCCACACGGGAATACACAAGCACGCAAAAATTGTTAAATTAAAGTGCATTACACGACTTATCAAAATGACGTCAATTTTCCTCAACATGGCGTCTCAATTTACCACAGACCGTTAAATATATACCGATTTAAAAAAAATAGAAGTTAATTGCGCTATCATAAGTGAACTGCATCCTAGAAGTTTATATACCGAATATTTGCAGTATTAACAGTTAAAATTAATGAAATGTATTACTTTTCCATGAAAAATACTTACTTTTTCCCCGGGTATACTGATTTCATTGGCCTCATTTGCATTGCGGACAACTGGCGTTGTGCGCATGCGCAGTAGACAAAGCATACAAACACCGTTATCTTTTTTTTTTTAATCTAGTAAATTAGTCCATTTTAAAATTTAGAGTCGCGTATAGTTATTTTTAAAAGTTAACGGAGAAACTGCAACAAACATTGTGAGCTTATTACCTGGTATACTTGCTCATTGCGTGTATGCAATTATCGTATTGTTTTCTTAGAGGTTTGACAACACCCTCTGTCCTATGTAGTGGATTATATGTAATGTTTTCCTGCCTTCCACTTTTAACTTGGAGGGATGATTGTTAAGTCCATATTGGCAAGGGTCCTATATATTTTTTATAATTGTTTTATAAGAGCCCTTCAATGCTGAAAAACATCATCTTATATATCACCTGTATAAAGTATAGATAAACATCCTTAATTCCATAAAGGGCTTAGATGGAACAGTTGCGTTTTATAGCCGTTATGCAAACCATGTGTCATGAGTACAAGGAGAGCAGTGGGTAGAGGACTACATTACTGTACAACTCCCATTCCCTCTTCCTTTTCCTGGAGGGCGCACATCAGACATCACAAAGACATTTTGAGTTTCTCCAGCTGACATGGGGATAATGAATCAAATCAAAGATACAATGACCAAGGCGGTGTTTACACCTTCTACTTCACCACAGGGATGGCTATGTCCTCCACACTCATGACCACATCTGTTGCTATTACCTATGCTAACTTCTATGCCTGCCTGAAATGTCTGTATGGCTTGATCGTGAGCTTATTTGCTTTCCTCACTGCTTTTGTCTACGTACTTGAAGTTGTGAAGGACAAAATCCTGGATAGAAGGAAAGGAACCTACCTGGCTGCTCTTCCTGGATTTTTTAAGTGCACGGACGCGTTCGTGAGCTGCATTATTTTTATGCCACTGACTGTTTACAGAGACAAGTCAGCTCTCATTTTGTGTGTTATAGCATACATCATTCCTTTCCCTATTCTCCCTGTGATCACAGCCACCAACATCTTAAAAAAAGCTGAAGACCTGTTTGCCCTTTAATTTGGACAGGTTCGTGTTTATATTTCTAGTGATCTCTGTTGTGTTGTATGTCTTTGCCGCTATCGTGTGGCCAATTTTCTATGTTTCGAAACAACCCTCGACCAAGTGACTGTCCAGCCAGCTACTGCATTTGGGCCATTCAATTCATAGTTGCATTCATGACCTACGTCAACCTGATTCTTTTCTCAGTGGACCTTATTTTTCACTTTGCTTGGTATTTGTGGTTTCAAACGCACATGAGCAGCAGTGCCAACTTTCTTATGATTTAAATATTATTAAATTTAAATATTTGAAATTATCATTGTGACAACTCTCATATGTGTAAGCTACTGCTAAATACGAAAGACCTAATCACTCCATATTTTCCATATGTTTATTGTTGGGTTATTTTTTATCTATGAATTCAAACAGACTTGAAAGACTTGAAAATTGTTCTAAAAAAAGACAACATACAGTATAGGAATTGTCAAAAGAGTTTAGAACTAGTTACTGCAATTGTGTTTCAATAAAGGTTCTGTAGAGCTCTGAGCGATCTGACTGGTCTGTCGCTGGGGCATTGCATTATTTTTAGAGCAGCCATCATTTCGCTAAAGCCAGGCATTGCGTTATCGAGTTTTCATTATCAGAGGAAAAACTGCTAACGATTCTTACAGATATTACAAAATATGCTAATATCCTACATGGAACACATTGGAAAAACTTGTAATTTGTGCCATTAGTAGAATGTATTTTTTTTTTCTTCAAAATTCAAATGTTGTTCACAGTAACGTACTGCAGCTCTGAACTTCTTCAGGCATCTTCTATTTCTTCAAACTCCACAGTCTCCAGCAGACCCTGGAAACAGAAGTAATGAGAGTTGCAGTAGACAGACGGCTTGTTTGGACCTGAGCCCAGGATTTCCGGTTTCAGTGAGGAGAAGGGGTTGACTCCACTCCCCTTCATGTCCATCTCCAATTCTAACAGGATCTGCAGGGAGTATGTCATCTCAGTCTCACTGTGATTAAAAAAAAAAAAGGACACAAGACATTAGCCTGAGTTGCACATTTTGAGATTTGGATCTTATACTGATGACTCTGGAAGAAAACACTGAGTGTTGCCTTGTCCAGACGATGCTTAAAAAGATGAAATGCCATTCTATTGTTCAAATGACATAATAGTAACACATGTGTAGAGATTGTGTCTCTCTTCTCATAAGTAGTTTGCAATCTCTAAATGCCTTTTTAAGTCAATTGATTTAAAACTTACTTGAGAGCAGTAAAAAGGGAAGGTATCGCAAAGTCCCTGAGGAGCAAAAGTGTTGGAAGCCAACCGTGCTCCAGGTCCTGACTGGCATCAAAACCTTGACATGGAAAATGAATGACTGTTTATCAAATTGGCCAGCACAAACATGACCTACTGTATTAGTGTCCTCTAACCATCATCAGTGTGATGAAAAAATATGAAAAAAAAAGTGCGACTTATAGTCCGGAAAATGCAGAAATGCTATTTATATGTTTACTTAAATCTCATTTGAAATCACAACAAATAACGACCGTTAGCTATATTTTGTTGTGTTGAGTGTTGACTCTTCTGGGATGACATGTTAGGAACACATTTCAACTAGCTGAAAGTTGGAGTCTGAAGGATGTATCTTTAGTTGAGTGAACGTTTCTCCAGGTTACCATGATGTTTTTTTTTACTCCGCTATCAAACCATCTTTCCTTTCTGACAATAATCATTCTCTAGATGCTGCTAGATCCTGAATGAAGAGGTGGCTCTTTAGAATAGCTCTTTTCTAGATGCTGCTAGATCCTGAATGAAGAATAAGTCTTTAAGATAACATACCTGGATGAAATCCCACCACCAGGTCTGGCTTAACTGCTTCTTCTTTCTCTACCAACTCCTCCCAGAACTCATGGTAGAGACCCTTGTAGGCACTAATGAAAACCTTCTTCTTTGGACCGAATGCTCTCAGTGGAGGCCTCACAATGGGGCCATCCATCACATCTGGTCCTATCATGACTACTTCGATTCCCTGGTGCTCGGGGAACATCTTGTTCAGCTCATCATAATCAGTCAATCTGGCTGCCAGTGTCTCGCTGTTGCCCGCTCCCACAAGGTGGACAGTGAGTGGTTTAGAATAAGGGTTGAGCCCGAACAGCCTCATCCCTAAGGCAATGGTTAGTGGCCTGGAGAAAAACTCACTGCAGACCCTCCACAGGGATTGTACGAGTTCCTCGTCGTGAGGTTGCGGTCTGTCTACATTGCTCCACAAGTTCTTCAGGTTTGCTCCATTTAAAATGGGTCCTAGCCGAGTTGTGAGATCCCCCTGCATCGCGAGCCAGTCATCCCAACCTTTAACTTCTGACTGTGGCTTTGACCACTTTTCTGTTTCGAATGGAAGATCCCCTGGTAAAACAAACAATGTTCAGAAGCATAGCAAGGTAGCAGCATGTGAATGTGTGAGCTGGTCATTTATCATGAATAACCAATTATATATATATATTTTTTTGGTGACCTTTACATATTATTAGTACAGGGACATCAAAAATACAGCCCGGGGGGCCAGAACCGGCCCACTAGGTTGGTCAATCCGGCTTGCTTCATGGATTTTAAAAGTGAAAACATGCACAAACACTTAACGTTTGAGATGTTTTGTTAATTGTACTTCATTTATATGAATATTTTCTAATGTATTTGCCATTATTTGCAGGACAACAAAGGGGGGAAATACTAATGTATTTGCCATTATTTGCAGGACGACAAAGGTGGGGAAATATGTTATGATTGTATCCAAAAATAGTTACATCGTGGGCAACTGGACAAAGTAGGTTTTCTGAAGACGTTTCACCCCTCGTCCAAGAGGATTCTTCAGTTCTGAAGTTCAGAACTGAAGAAGCCTGAAGGATGAACTGAAGGATAATCAACCTCACCTCTCTTGCCAATCTATACAACTCCTTTTCTCCTTCCTCTGTTTCCAAACTCTCATACAACTCCTCATATGCCTTCTGTTTGGCCTTGGCCACTCCCCTCTTCACCTCCCTTGTCTTCTCTTTGTACTCCAGTCTGTTCTCTTCTGTTCTGTCACTGTCCCATCTCTTCTTCGCTAATCTCTTTCTCTGCACACTCTCCTGGACCTCATCATTCCACCACCAGGTCTCTTTGTCCTCCTTTCTCTGCCCAGAGGACATACCTAGCACCTTCCTACCTGTCTCCCTCATCACTGCAGCTGTAGTCTCCCAATCATCTGGGAATATCTCAACACTACCCAGAACTGCCCTTACTTCCTTCCTGAAGTCTTCACAACATGTCTCTTTCCTTAGTTTCCACCACTTGATCTTCTGCTCTGTCTTCACTCTCTTCCTTTTTGTCACCTCCATCGTCATTTTACACACTACCATCCGATGTTGTTTGGCTACACTCTCACCTGCCACCACCTTACAGTCTCTAATCTCCCTCAGATTACATCTTCTACATAGAATATAATCTATCTGTGTGGACCTGCCTCCACTCTTGTAAGTCACCCTATGTTCCTCTTTCTTTTGGAAATATGTGTTTACCACAGCCATTTCCATTCTCTTTGCAAAATCTACCACTGCCTGTCCTTCTACGTTTCTCTCCCTAACACCAAACCTGCCTATCACTTCCTCATCTCCTCTGTTCCCTTCCCCTACATGACCATTTAGGTCTGCTCCAATCACCACTCTCTCTCTCCTGGGGATACTCTCTACCATCCAATCTAGCTCCTTCCAGAACTTCTCCTTTTCTTCCAACTCACAGCCCACCTGTGGGGCATAACCACTAACAACATTAATCATCTCTCCTTCTACTTCTACCTTCACACACATCAACCTGTCTGACTCTCGTTTCACCCCTACTCCATTTCTCTTCCCATCTGAACCATGATAAAACAGTTTGTAGCCTCCTCCAATGTTTCTAGCCTTGCTGCCCTTCCACCTGGTCTCCTGCACACACAAAATGTCTACTTTTCTTCTCTCCATCACATCAGCTATTTCTCTACTTTTCCCTGTCATTGTACCTACATTCAGAGTTCCAAACTTCAGACCAACACTTCTATCCTTCCTCTTTTCTCTTTTTGTCCGAATCAAACATCCTCCTCTTCTTCTTGGTCTTCAACCAACAGTAGTCCAATTTCCTCCGGTACCCTGTAGGTCAACAGCACCCTTGGCGGTCGTCGTTAACCCGGGCCTCGACCGATCCGGTATGGAAATCATTTTTATGATCCGCATATTTCTTTTGAATATTGTGCACAATACTAATAACGGTTTCACTTTCACTTTAAAACTATTTTCAGGTCACATCAGTTGGGCCAAACCCAGACTTTGCATTATTGGGTTTTCATTATCAGAAGGCAAAACCCATAACGATTCTTACCGATATTACATAAGTATATCTAAGCTAATATTGGCCAATATTATCAGACATCCATACAAATTTTTGACCAAATACTTTCTCTTAACCCTCTAAAGGTTGGCTGATTATCTGAGAACCTTCAACAACTAATATTTTCCAGGTCATACACCAGCTCTGGCCAAATGAAGATTGTAGCTTCTAAAGTACAAAGTCACAAAAGTAAATTGTGATAAATTAGATAATTGCACAAGCTTTACCTTTGAACAAAAGCCACTCCATAACTCTGTCCAGGGCAACAAGACGTAGCTGTGGGCAGAATCCCTTGTGCTTTGGCCAGTCCTGCTTCTGACATTCTTTGCAACAGTAGTAAGCATTGAAACACCTGTGCAGATCCAGAACATTCGGTTTTAATGTCTCCCATTTGGTTTGGTTTTATTTGATAATATAATGAGACGTATGTGTGTGTGTGTGTGTGTCTGAAGGGCTGTTGAAATTAAGGCGGTATAGTGATTACTATTTTGTGAAGATGAATCTGAATCTGAGTTTACGTGCTGCACCTTCTTATCCAGTGGAGGCTTCAATTTCCGGTTAGACGCGTCATGGAAGTTTACAAGCTATGGCAAGCCCTTTCAACATTTGAATGATTTAAAAGTTTGACTATCCGGAATGAACACTGTTGATATCAACGCTGTCTTTCCGACTGGGCGTAATTTCATTTTGGATAGTGGGAATGATCATTTAAGATATCCGTAACGTACTTTTGAGCAGACGAATCGACAAGACCTTTTCTGCTGTTGCTGCTGCTTTGCCTATGACTATCCCAAAAAAAGTTCGAGATATCTACAACATAATATGATCCGGAAGTAATGTTACCGTGTTATAATGTTCATGGTAGAGTTCTGTGATTTCCCATGGTCTATGAATGTGTCTGGATGAATGCCAGAGCTTTTGCATATACTTCTTGACTTTTGCCGTATTACTGTAATAATTCGATCATTTGGCTGCATGTGTGTATATATGTACGTATATAAATCTACGTCTACATATATGGCTTAAACACAAGCGTGTATATATATTAGTGTGTATATTTTGTATGTAGAAAA